TTAGTTTGGTTCATGCTGCAGCATAAAAAAAAAGGAAAAAGTCATGTGACCCTGTATTGAAAAACGTGTAAAAAGGTATTTAATGCTTTTTTTCACAAAGCAGTTTACATGTATTGAATGGCTGCTGGTGTGCCCCATTACTTAGATGCTCCACGCTGGTCCAAACAAACTATTTAGAGTCACCAGAAACCTGGAGATAGGGGTTTGAACATTGTGAATAAAAAGGACTGGGGTAAGTTAGTGGTTGAAGGTTCTTTTTTTCTTAAAGCCTCATTCACACAGGTGCTGATGCCCACATAGCGTGAATGAACCATTTCTTTTTCTTCCAGGCAGCCCAATGAAGTCTATTAGGACATCCAGCTGCACAGACATCTGCTTGTCCTAATGTGCAATTGCCAGTGAGTGTCTCAAACACAGACAGTGTGCATTTGGGGGCCACTCATCCTCACGTCTGTCACATTAGGATGAGCGGCTGTGTCCGAGCAGTCATGCACCCTAATAGACTTCAATGGGCTGTCTGCACGTAGGACCTGGAGGTTACAGTTGCTGCAAAAAAAATTGGCCTACGATCATCATCACCTATGTGCCACCCTTGTACAACTCATGTACGGTCATGCCTAGGGACGTGGATAAGGGGCTACCACCAGTCCTCCTGTAAGGGACCCAGGCCATCGAGGGGGGCCCAGGCATCTGGGTGAATTGGATCTGGGCCGAGGGGGTGATTGGCACAGCGGGGACAATTACTGGAATGAATCCCCTGTATGGCTCTCTCTGCAGCTGTTGAAAGCCGGATTCTTTCCACTCCCACCCGCTGGCTTTCAGCTGCTGCAGAGAAAGCCATACAGGGGATTGGTTCCAGTAATTACTGCTGCACCTATCACCCTCCCTGTGCACTATACGTGCCCCCCTGCTGCCCAGGCCCCCCTGTGGGCCCCCACCACTGCAGGGTTGCTGGCTTCAGTCCTTTCCTTCCCACCAATAGCTCCAAGCACACAATAGGATCCTTCAGGATGGAAAGTGGGGGAAGGTTCTGGTAAATATGTCACATTTACCAGCCTCTTCCTTTCCTGAATGAACACAATGAGTGACCTGACCGATCACTCACTGTCTTCATTCATAACTGAAGAATAGTAAACTGTTTTTTGTTTTTTTTTTGTTAGAGGGGCCATTTTTTGTTCCCCATACAGCCAACCTACAGGGGCCATGTCAGTTTGGCTGTATCCCCATACAGCCAACCTGACAGGGCTGTATCCTCTCTAATAATAGGATCCTTCAGGATGGAGAGTGGGGGAAGGGTCCGGTAAATATGTCACATTTACCAGCCCCTTCCTTTCCTGAATGAACACAATGAGTGACCAGACCGATCACTCACTGTGTTTATTCATGACTGAAGAAAAGTATACTGTTTTTTGTTTTTCAGGGGCCATGTCAGGTTGGCTGTATGGGGACCCATGGTTTCTAACAGCAGCCCTAGCCCTAAAAATAAACTTTAAAAAAATTGGAAATAACTTAAATAAAATACCTTTAAATATGTTAAATATTATATGAGATTTTTACTGGGTTTAGATCTACTTTAAAGCCCAGCTGAACATTTACCTAATAATAGGAGCATGAAGTCAGGTTGCACATGAAATGTAAGGTCTGTGTGAGTTTTTATATTTTAAATTTCCTAATGTTTTAGTGCTTTACTACTGCACGACCCTGCCCTGTACCTTCACCCCACTGGAGATCTTGACCGCTGCCCTCATATATAGTGTGGTGTTCCAGGTTTCCAACACTCCAATGTCCCCCCTGCACTGTTCTCCAATCAACAATTCTCCTCAGGGAGTGTATGTGTTGTTTCTTATATTTATTCATGACATGTATTAATATAATAGTGTAGCACTACCCCCACAGGGGCCGCTTGTTAATGCTTGTCCCAGTCGATGCCCTGACCTTGCAAGCCTCTCGACACCTCTGACATCCTGGGTTCAGACATATTTCAACAGTATAGAATAATAATGCAAGAGACACAATCCTTTAGTAATGCCTCTTTATTAAACTTGCTCAAAGGAGTAAGCAATAGAAAAATTGTATTTAGGATATACAACTCCAGTTAACACATACAATAGAAATAATCAATTAGCAACATTTAACAGATTATACAGGCAAAAGTAGTAAGCTTCAACCATTTAATTGCAACACCAGTAGCAAGAGGGGGAAGAAAAGGCTTGTTGACTTATCAGCTCCTTCCAGACCACTGGCACCACAATGGGGAATGCAGAGAATTATGTAAACGTGTACTCCACTATGAATAGATATAAGTACCCCAATTTGAATAGCAATGGCCTTAAAAGAGAAGAGGTCCCTTAAACTAGAATTTGCAACTTGAGTCCTGTGATGTTTAAAGTTTCTGATATGGTGCTATCCGGTGTCTTCTGCTAGCGATTGTGGGGCCCATAAACATTGATAGTGAATACTGGTATTTCAGTGAAAATAAATGGATAGACTGTGTTACTGCTCAAAGCAAAGATCTCCTGATACTGAGGTGTAAAGGTGTCTGCATGCAGTGTCTCTAGATTGATGACAAAAAGAGCCTGGGTATCTGCCCTTTCAACAATACTATTGACAGCACGGCCTACTAGGAACAGAGTTCTTGCTCAGGCTCTTGGCTGGTTGCAGGGAAGTGCCTAGTTACTGCCTGATGGCCTGTCAGCATATGTCTGTCATATGACAGTCCAGATGCAGAGATGCTGCTGCAATCCTGGTATCAGAGCCTGGGTTTGAACCTGGGCCTTCTGTGGGGAGAGACAGTGCTTCTTCTTGCTGAGCCACCTGGAATGCTGGATAGCTCCCTTGACAATTCTTTGGATGATCCTGCCTTGGCCCTGTTTGTCTTGAACCTTGAACTCCTTGCTCCTCCCATGAACTTCCTAAAAAAAGCCATGTCCATGCACTTCCTCCTTGCCAGATTATTGTGCCTTCCCAGCCAATATCCTGCTTATTGTTCCTGCTGCTGTCTACATCTTCATTACCGACCTTTGGCTTGCTACTGACTACGATTTTGCCTCATCCTTATCTACTACCCTTTGTGACCGACCCTTGGCTTGTGACTGACTCCGCTTCTGTTTGATCCGCTATTGGTTTCCAGCTTGCTCATTCCCTGGTGGGGTGATCCTGAGATCTGCGACCTGGTATTAACATGCAGCCAAATCCATTTCCACCACTAGGAGCTCTGGTGAAGACCGGTTTATACTTAGACCCCGCACCTCAGGTGAGCCTGCGTCATTCCCAGGGTGACCCGCTGGTGTATCCATCCTGCTGGTTTCAGGTAAGCCTTATACTGCTGTAGCAACTGGTCTCTGAACCTGACCACACACCGTGACACCTGTTGTGGCAATCAGTGTCACCGCTCTACTGAACTGATGTGCAGAGTCCTGCGGTAGTAGCCAGCAAACCCCTTGTGTTCAGCTCTGAATCCTATGACACGAGTCAGTCCCTTGCTGTATAATACATATATCTGCTCTCCCAGCATCCTTCTGGTTTGCCAGCTTTCTGGTAGTTGTAGTTCAATCAGCACTCAGAAATACACTATATGTTGGCTATAGGACTACAGATCCCAAGATCCTCTGCTTCCAGAAGAACTGGATCTACTCTGCTAACAGGAAGTGATGTAGCAGTCCCAGTACTAGGCACTAGGGGAAAAGGGGTTAATCATAGACTTATCTGTAAATGTCCATAAAAGGCATAATGATATAGCCGGCACCTGGCTACAGTAAAAAGGCACACTACACTGTACTCACTCCTGATTAGTAGGGTGTAGGTCCTTGAACTTGCCCTGAAAATCTTGGGGAGGGGGGGAGTGCCGCGTGACCTTAAGGTCGGGTCTCCCCCTCCCATGGGGTTTCTCTTTTGGGTAATCCCATCTGGCACTTGGGTGGACCTTGCATAGGCAGATCCTCTGAAGAATGGGGTCCACCTGGTTTTGACTAGGTAGACCACGAGAACCCATAGCTCCCAACTGTGCCTGATTACGAGGGACTGTCCCGCATTTGAAATAAACTCCCTCTGTCCCTTGACCCTCCTCATTTGTCGCTCATTTTGATCTGATGTATAGACCTGTATAGAAAAAATATACCATTTATTTATCAAATAGTTTTATAGTGCTAAGATTTCCATCCAATTTTGAAATTCCAAAAACCAGTATAAAGCTCCTGTGGGTTTAACCAATAATTTGTTGTGTATTAATTCTCCATATAACAGGGGGTGCATCATTTGCCTAAATACTTTTACTAATAGGTGTCTGTGACGGGAGTCACTTTGGGTGGCGGACCCATGGAACCCAGCTCACTTTGGAGAGGTGGGAGACCCCTGTCTCAGCTCCCCATATCCTTATTATGTGTAAGTCACCCTGTACCTGTTAGGGGTACAGGGTGATCTGTCCTAATATTGTGTAGACATGTCTAGGAGATAGGTGGGGTGGGGGGTTGTGAATTGTTTGGTGTCATGTGGTTGCATCCCATTGTTCTATTGCTTGTCTGGCTTGGGAGCAAACTATTATGGGATGTATGTGTATTAGCTTAGTGGGGGGGTTGTCTCCAGCAGCCCTCCCTCCTGATGGGACTGTCTGCTGGTGTGAAGTTTGAATACCTGTGTGTCTGTTGTTACTAAATGTAGATTGCCCCACCCTGTGTCATTATGCAGGGAGGGGGGATTGTCCCTTCAGTGTATATATCTTGTATCTGTGTTCAAATAAAGTAGTCTACCTCTGGTTTACTTCAAGACTGGTGTCATCTAGTCTTGTATGGTCGGCTGTGGTGTCTGCTGTCGGTGTTCGGACGGGGAAGGGGTATTATAACGGAAGTATTCAAGCGCAGTCTGGGGTCGGTTCTGTTACAGTGTCCCTTTTTCTCATCACAGAAAGTTGGAGGTAATTGAGTACCCCGATTCCTTACAGGAGTCTTGCATCCCCGGAGGGCACCAGGGTTCTTTCACTTTTGAGGAGGACTATTTGACTGACTATTTGGAAACTCGGGCACTGTCCGAGGGCCCAGGGTCAGTAGGAGGCCCCATGAGATGCCCCTGGTACCTTTTTCATAGGCTTTTTTGGGTAAGGACACAGGGGCCCATTGATCCCCTATTGCCCGGGGGCCCCATGAGTTGTCCAATGTCCAATTTTTTTTTGTGTGTGTGTGCTTCACTTTGTATGCTCACTTTTTTTTTAACACCTGGTTTTAGTGGCAAGTATGTGCGCTGCACCACCGAAAAAAAAAAAACTGTAGTAGAAAAGCACTAAAAATACTTTATGTGCAGCCTGACTGCATACTCCTATTCGAAGGTAAGCGTTCAATAGGGCTTTAACTCTTGAAACCTCATTGTGACATTTTCTCACACCCTTAATCAATACCGGTAATTAACACAGATCCACTAGCTCCTTAGTATTAGCACGGATTGTTTTTTAATATCACCCAGTCCTCCAGAAGCAACGATCATGCCAATAAATTGAGTAACGCCTCGCTGAGTTCTAGCTGTTGTAAGACTCCCGGGAAGTGAGCTTATAATGGCTCATTAACCCTCCCAGGTTTATATCTTAGTGTACTATTATTTCTCCTTCCTATGTTTATCAACTTTGTCTTCTTGCTTTCTTTTTTTTTCCCTTTCACCATGCAAATGACCATCGTGGGAAATTATCTTAGCGATATGTCCAACTGTGCTGCCATGGCAACAAAGATAAGGCTTTGTGGTCACAATTTATAAACAGTTTATTTATAAGCCTCGGGGAGCTTTGGATTTTAAAGCTCGCAATTGCTTCCATAGAGCTGCTAATTTTTATTTCCCGTCTCTAGACTGTTTATCTCTGGAGTTTCAGTATTGCTGTTCCAAGCCCTGGATTTGATTAGCTTGTTTATCTCTTAATGCAGTATATATTTTTTTTTTTTTCCTCAATCAACTTCCAAAATGATAATTGTAACAGCCCGCGGGCTATAATGGTGTCTTGCCTTACAGTGATGGGAATCTGGTTGGGGGCCTCTCGCTCTCATCTGCCATCTGCTGGCTGACACAGGTACTGCGCTGCAGGTAAACAGGTGCCACATTTTAGAGGGGGGGGAGCTACCAGGTTTAAAATATGGTGCCATGCTGAGCATTCCAAATGCATGCAAAAGAAGTTGACCGCACTCAAATCTTCAGCAAAAATGCAAGCTTGTATTGACTAAAATCATCACAGACCCAGAATATAGGATGACAGCGACAAGGTTAACACATTTCATGCAGAATGCACTTAGTCATAGACGGTTAGTCAGATTACGACTAAGCGCAACCTCTTAGGAGTGCAGTCAACCTCTTTTTGCATTCATTTGGAACTTTCAGGTCACGGACTGGACCAGCACCCTTTGGTTCAGAAAGTGGATTAGGCTCCATGTACACAGTGCGTTTGGAGAACTCTTCTGAACGCTGGAAATTGACAGCAGGAAAATGCAGGTTAAAAACGTCAGTTTTGCATGTTTGCATACCGTGTTTATACCCGTTTAGCCTCAGCGTTTGCGTTCAGAAGCATTTTTTAAAGATAAGCACAGGAGAACCTCGCAAATGCCCAGAATGCACTGGAAAATTGTAAATTATTAACTATTTCAGACTGTTTGAGAGAAATACAGAGAGTAGAAGCAGAAACAGCAGTATTTGTTATACGACTGTAAACTCAACTGCCTGTAAACGACGATGTGTACATGGACACATTGGAACACATTAGGGAGAGTTCAGGGGCTGCTGAAAAAAATGCAGAAAAGCTCCTAAACGTGCGTTTATCAGCTGTAGTGTTTATGGAGCCTTAAACAGATATGCCTCACCTGGAGCGGTGTCACTTTTTAACTTCTAAGGTGCCATGCAGACCTGAGTTTAAAGCTCCAAGCATGGGCTGATTTAACATTCGAGCACTGGGGCACTGTCCGAGGGCCCGGGGTCAGTAGGGGGCCCCATGAAATGCCCTGGTACACTTTTTTTATAGGCTTTTTTTGAGTGTAGGCAAGGACACAGGGGCCCCATGATCCTCCATTGCCGAGGGCCCCATGAGTTGTCAGTCCACCCCTGGCTCCAAGGCAACCTTTTTTTCCTTGATTGAAGTCCCTGAACCGGAACAAGCATAGAGTCCATGTACTGTTGGGGCACCTGATATTTAACAGCAGGGTTTTCATAAAGCAAGACAGCTAAGGTCAGCCTACATTATACTTAGCCCTTGATGTATCATTCTGTGAATAATATTCACTTGGCTTCCTCTGGTCAGAATTCCTGATACCCTTTTTGCAGTGCTGGGACAAGATCAACCACTGCCAAAGGTGAAGATGTCAAACTGCAACCTCCCCCTCTCCGCCTTGATATGTGTGCCCTCAATAATCTTTTGGAGATGGGATCTATGATACTAGCATTATAATGTTGCTTCTGCTTGTTTGACAGTCGCAAGGTACAACCAAAATATAAATGTCGAATGGCTGTCTGGTACTCCCAGAACTCTGATCCCCACTGCGGACCACATCCTTGCATCCTAAACATGAAACTGGTGCAGGCAATGGACCTCATCAACACAGACATCACTGCTCCTCTGCTTGGGCTCCTATTGTCAGGTTAGTCAACTCCCAGGCAGCAGGAAAGATGTAAGGGGCGAGGACAGGCTCTCAGCCGGTTTGAATTTTACAGGCAGATTGTAAGAGGGCTCCTGATTGCCCAACTGTTGGTATCAAATCACTCAAGCCCCCACCCCTCTTCTTCTTGGATAGGACTATAACCCACTGCTGGGAGTTCTTAGTCTTCGCCATATTGTGCCCAACTCCTTGCCATAGGCCTTCCCATGACATCACCACTCATTGGTCTTTATATTCCCAAGAAAGGAATGTCCACAAAAAGTTATAGTTTCTGCACTTTACTGTTGCTTTTCAAAGTGGGCATTGACCCATCACATAGAAAATCTATTCTGTGTCGCTTGACATACTTCTCCAGTCACATATATTGGACAGTCCATAGCTGATAAGCCATCTTTCCTTAGTATATCTACATGCCTTGGGTTCACCCCATTGTTGGGGCTCTTTCCTTGAGTAGCACTACTCTCTTGAGGGACTCTGCATTTGATTGGGTCCCCCTTAAGCTCTGCACAGCCAGTCAACAAACATTTTCCACACTTTCAGCTAAAGTCAGTAAAACAGTCCTTGAGCTTGTTTTGCTGTTTTTAATAGGGATCAACAATTTGGATGGGGTCAAGAGGTATACAGAATGTCCAAGGAACTGTAAACTTGAGGACAACTTCTTAGCAAACACTGTGCAAATGTGGATGAAAAATAAGCAACTGTCTCTTTAAGGAGCACTAAGTCCTCTTTGGTGTACCTCCTCAGATCCCAGATGAAACTGTCCTCATCCATCCGGCTGTCCTGAGAGTATCCCTGAAGCAGTCCTATATGAGAACTAGTTGGGTATTGCACCTGACTGTCCTCTCCTTTCTGTGGCCCAAAGGGTGTAGAAGTACTCACACTGTCCTGTTCTGTAGCTTGGAGGGTTGCAGCTGCTTTCAGGCCTTACGCTGAGCTGGTTCCTTCCCTGCTAAGAGGCTGTCCTCCCAAGGAGACCATAGGGCAGTGGAGATCCTCCTGTCTGCTTAAGCTTGTAAGTAGGCCCTCTCCCTAGGCCTCCCTCTCAGGCTCCATGCTTCCTTAATCCATCTTCTACCCAAACACACCAGCACTACTCAGGCTCTTCCACATTTAAGGGTTTCTCTTTTCAACCACGCTGGGCCTCCTGCCCGGGGAATAGGTCAAGTTCCCTTAAACATTCAAATCTGGGCCTCTTCCCCTCCTCCGCTCCTCCTCCCTCTTCTTAAAAGTTCCTTCAGTTTCTAGAAGGGTGGGAGGGTCCAGGAAGCCCTGACATGTAGAGCCTCATAGTCTGTCCTGAGGTAACCTCACTCCCAGGCTGGCTCATCACAAGCCTCTAACTATCACACAAAAATCCTAGCTAAACTAGAGGGTGCTAAACTTCTATACTACAGTTGCAAGAAAAAGTATGTGAACCCCTTAGGATTATGTGGAGTTTTGCATGAATTGGGCATAAAATGTGCTCTGAATGTCATCTAAGTCACAACAATAGAAGAACACAGTCTGCTGAACATAATACTACACAAACATTAGATGTTGCCATGGTTTAATTGCACATAACATGTAAACATTCACAGTGCAGGGAGGAAAAAGTATGTGAACCTTTGGACTTAATAACTGCTTGACCCTCCTTTGGCAGTAATAACCTCAACCAAACGTTTCCTGTAGTTGCAGATCAGACCTGCACAACGATCTGGAATATTTTTGGACCACTCCTCTTCACAAAACTGTTTCAGTGTAGCAATATTCTTGGGATGTCTGGTGTGAATCGCTCTCTTAAGGTCATGCCACAGCATTTCAATTGGGTTGAGGTCAGGACTCTGACTGGGCCACTCCAGAAGGCGTATTCTGTGCTGTTGCAGCCATTGTTTTGTTGAATTACTTGTATGCTTTGGGTCATTGTCCTGTTGTATCACCCATCCTCTGCGGAGCTTCAGTTGGCGGACAGATGGTCGTACGTTTTCCTGCAAAATGTCTTGATAAACTCTGGAATTCATTTTCCCATCAATGACAACAATCCGTCCAGGCCCTGAGGCAGCAAAGCAGCCCCAAACCATGATGCTGCCCCCTCCGCCATGTTTCACAGTGGGGATGAGGTTTTGATGTTGGTGTGCTGTGCCTTTTTTCTCCACACATAGTGTTGTGTGTTCTTCCCAAACAACTCAATCTTGGTGTCATCTGTCCACAGTATATTTTGCCAGTAGTGCTGTGGAACATCCAGGTGCTCTTTTGCAAACTTCAAACGTGCTGCAATATTCTTTTTGGCCAGCAATGGCTTCCTCCGTGGTGTCCTCCCATGTACTCCATTCTTGTTTAATGTTTTCCTTATTGTAGATGTGTCAACAAAAATGTTAGCATGTGCCAGAGATTTCTGTAGGTCTTTAGCTGACACTCTGGGATTCTTCTTTACCTCATGCAGCATTCTGTGCTGTGCTCTTGCAGCCATTTTTACAGGACGACCACGCCTAGGGAAAGTAGCAACAGTGCTAAACTTTCTCCATTTGCACACAGTCTGTCTTACCGTGGACACATGAACATCAAGGCTTTTGGAGATACTTTTGTAACCCTTTCCAGCTTCATGAAAGTCAACAATTCTTGATCATAGGTCTTCTGAGAGCTCTTTTCTGCGAGGCATGGTTCACATCAGACAGTGCTTCTTGAAACCAGTAAACCCAAAACAGGTGTGTGTTTTTTTTTAAGGGCAGGACAGCTGACAGCAACACATCCAATATCATCACACTGAGAGTCAAGGTTGGCTCACTCCTGGCTCCAATTAGCTCTGGGAGAAGTCATTAAGCTAGGGCCTCACATACTTTTTCCTCCCTGCACTGTGAATGTTTACATGTTATGTGCAATTAAACCATGGCAACATCTAATGTTTGTGTAGTATTATGTTCAGCAGACTGTGTTCTTCTATTGTTGTGACTTAAATGACGTTCAGAGCACATTTTATGCCCAATTCATGCAAAACTCCACGTAATCCCAAGGGGTTCACATACTTTTTCTTGCAACTGTATATCTGTAGCATTCTGCTCTATTCAAATCAAGATTCGTCCTGCTCTGTCAGTCAAGAATAACAAGGTGCTTTCTACAGTATTCCAGTTTCTTTTCCTGTGTCCCACTGCATAGCTCTACCCAGCCAGGTACAATAGTACTCAGGGGCTCTGCCTCGCCCATTAGACTTTTTTCATCCAGCTCCAGGATTGCTGTAGCTGTACCTCTAGATTTTGTACATATCTCTCTGGATCACCCTCACACCAAAAAACACTTAGCCTGGCTTAAAATCAGGGGTGTATTTACCACAAGGCACTTGCCTAGGGCGGCATTTTTTCAAGGGGGCAGCACCTCTCCTCAGAAGGGATGAAAGAAGGGACACATGCGCCATGGGAACCATGTGGGATCCAAGAGGCTGCGGGCTGCGTGATGGTGTATATAGAGCCTGACTCTCATTCCCAGGGATCCAGGGAGCTTTGAAGATGAGTGTCTTTCTTCTATGGGGGGGGGTTTAGTGGAAGGCTCTCCCGAGTAGGGGTGTTGTTGGTCAATGTCAGGCTCTTTCCGTGGCAGGGGGAAGGGGGGGGGATTATGGTCATTGTCTGTTGGGGCAGACTATTTTTGTGTTGCCTAGGGCAGCACAAAACCTAAATACACCACTGCTTAAAATGCCTTTGTTCCCTCTCCCAAACCAGTTAGACCACGTTCCCAGCCCACTTGTACCATATTTCGTGAGACAGAACAACTACTGATGTCTCTTCTTAGTGGCTATCTACCTTGTCCAAACAATGACAGCTTTGCATTTATTCAGAAAATGCAAAGCATTCTCTGAATAGCGCACATGCTGAGTGGCCAACTTGTGTTCACAAAGCATCAGGCCATCAGGTCAGCACAGGATCCGGAATCAAGTGGAGATAACTGGAGTGCAGTGTTTACTTCAGTGATTTCCAGCTTCCAAGGGCATCTGCCAGGTATGGTATATACACAGTTACATTGGTTCAAGCTGAAGCAATGGAACTATGTAGAATAAACCATGCCTGGAATTATTTTTTAAACTGTTGTGGCACTGCTCAATATGTACAAAGTTGAGGGCTTTAGCTTTATTTTTTTTGAAGAAGAAACCTCCCAATAGCTTTTAAACTTGATGTGGCTGCTACTTCCACTGGTGAATTCAGGACTATTACCACTTGATAAAAAAGGTGTTACAGCCTAAGCTACCTACTTTTTTGAAGTGAATGATTGTGTGCTCATTTCCGTATTTAAGCCAAGTTAAATTTAAAAGTTAAAAAAAAAATAATTAAACATCCTTGTGATGCTATAATAATGCTGTGTTTCCGATGCTGTCCATTAAAATCATACTATTCGGTAAAACCACATACAGCTTAAAGGCATCTCCAAAGGATTAGGTGGATTTTTTTTTTTCATGCTACCCTTGAAACCACAATATAAGGACTCTCTTGTGCTGCATGGTAATTGTAAAAGCATTTTTTGATTTGTTAATGACCCCCATGGTAGATCCCCAGGGCTGTCTTAATGCATGGGCAACCCTGGACACTGCCCAGGGGCCCCAGGTGCATGGGGGTCCCAGGATAATCTTGCATTACATCATACTTGTCAACTGTCCTGGATTTGCCAGGACAGTCATGCTTTTTACTAAACTGGCCTGGGTAGTGTCCCAGAACCTGTACTGTGACCTCCTGATTTCAGTATTGTGCACTCATGACTCTCCCTGTACTGCACCCTTCTGATCCCAGTATTGTGCCCTCCTGACTCCCCCTGTGACTGTGCCCCTGTACTGTGCCATCCTGATCCCAGTATTGTGCCCTCCTGATCTATTGTGCCCTCCTGATTCTCCCTGTACTGTGCCCCTCCCAGTATTGTGCCCTGATCCCCCTCCTGTATTGTGTGCCCCTCCCAGTATTGTGCCCTCCATGATCCCAGTATTGTGCCCCCTGATTCTCCCTGTACTGTGCCTTCCTGATCTGACTGCCACTGTGCCATCCTGATCCCAGTATTGTGCCCTCCAGACTCCCCCTGGACTGTGCCCTCCTGATCCCAGTATTGTGCCCTTTGACCAGGAGCGGACTGACAACTCACGGGGCTCCCGGGCAATAGGGGATCATGGGGCCCCTATGTCCTTGCCCAAACTCAAAAAAGCCTATGAAAAAAGGTACCAGGGGCATCTCATGGGGCCCCCTACTGACCCCAGGCCCTCGGGCAGTGCCCGAATTTCCAAACGGTCAGTTCGCCCCTGCTCCTGACTCCCCCTGGACTGTGCCCTCCTGATCCCAGTATTGTGCCCCCCTGCCTCCCCCTCCCCCTGGACTGTGTCCTTCTGCCTCCCCCAAGCCCCCAACTCCCACCAGACTGTTACCTTTCAGTTAATTAATCTTTGATTTATGGCATGTTTTCTTATTGTTTAAAATCAATTTTATTGAAAGCACTAATAAAATGATGAATAATTCTATCAACTAATAATACTTTGAGAGTAGGTGCGTAAATTGGGGCAGGCTGGTAGGGGCTCCAGTGCATGGCTTTGCCCAGGAGCCTATGATACTATTAAGAGGGCCCTACAGATCCCCATGCCTTTTTTATTTTTTTTTTTTTTACAACAGTGTGCTTATTGACTGCAGGATCCACCCCTAGACCCCCATACCCCAAACTTCAGATTTTCTGAACCCCTGTAAAATCAAACCCAGGAAGATTTGCCCATCACAACTACTTACAGTTGAGTTAACCACTTGCTCTCCGGAGGATTTACCCCTCTTCCTGCCCAGGCCGTTTTTGCGATACGAATGATAGATAATGATCACCTGCGCTTAGGACACACCAATCAATAGCACACACTCAATATAAAACAAAACTGGGCTGCTGCTCCTATAGAGGTACAGCAAGGGGCGGACTGACCATTTGGAAACTCGGGAACTGCCCGAGGGCCCGGGGTCAGTAGGGGGCCCCATGAGATGCCCTGGTACCTTTTTCATAGGCTTTTTTGAGTTTGGGCAAGGACACAGGGGTCCCATGATCCCTATTGCCCGGGGGCCCCATGAGTTGTCAGTCCGCCCCTGGGTACAGCCTTATCAACTTATTATTATTATTATTATTATTATACAGTATTTATATAACGCAAAAAAGTTTGCTCAGCGCTGTACAATATAGTGGGGGACAGTATGAGACAATACAGTAACAAAACAATACACGAGGGGTTCGAGGGCCCTGCTCTTTCGAGCTTATAATCTAGTAAGGAGGGGATAGCGGTACAGGAGGAAGTGGCTGTGGGGGATGGAGTGGAGGAGATCGGCTGTTAGGTGAGGGTGGGGTAGGCTTCCCTGAAGAGATGGGTTTTCAGGGTGCGCCTAAAGGTGAGGAGAGTAGGTGACAGTCTGCTGGATTGGGGTAGTGAGTTCCAGAGGATGGGGGAAGTCCTGGAGAAGTCCTGCAGTCGGGCATGGGAGGAGGAGACCAGGGAGCTAGAAAGTAGGAGGTCTTGTGAGGAGCAAAGATTACAGGTTGGGTGGTATTTGGGTATCAGGTCGGTGAGGTATAGTTTGGGGCAGCGTTATGAATGGCTTTGTATGTCAATGTTAGTAGTTTGAATTGAATGCGTTGGGCAATCAGAAGCCAGTGCAGGGAATGACAGAGGGGGGTGGCAGAAGCGGAGCGGTTGGTAAGGTGGATGAGTCTGGCCGCTGAGTTCAGGATAGACTGAAGCGGGGATAGTCTGTGATGAGGTAAGCCGGCGAGGAGGGAGTTGCAGTAGTCCAGACGTGAGATAATAAGGGAGTGCATGAGTTTGTTTAGTAGTGTCTGGGGTTAGGAATGGACGTATTTTGGAGGTGTTGCGGAGGTGGAGCCTGCATGAGTTTGCCAACAATTGGATCTGGGGTTGGAAGGACAGGTTTGAGTCTAGAGTGACACCTAGGACTTTGGCTTGCGGGGTGGGACTGATGGTGGCGTTGTTGGTCGTGATGGAGAGGTCAGCGGGGGGCGCGGGCTGGGGGGAATACTAGGAGCTCGGTTTTGGAAAGGTTTAATTTGAGGAAGTGGAGTGACTTCCAGTCTGATATGTCGTTCAGTAGGCTTGTGATTCGGGCGGAGACTGAAGGGGTGAGGCGAGGGGTGGAGAGGTAAATTTGCGTGTCGTCGGCGTAGAGGTGATAGTTGAAGCCTTGAGAGTGTATCAGTTGGCCAAGGTAGGAGGTGTAGATGGAGAAGAGTAGGGGCCCGAGGACAGAGCCTTGGGGGACCCCAACAGAGGGGGGGAGTGAGGGGGAGGTGGTAGCATTATATGTAAACACTGAAGGAGCGTTGGGGTAGATAGGAGAGCCAGGAGAGAGCGGAGTCTCTGATGCCAAGGGAGTATAGTAATACACAAAATGGCAGGAGTGAACAAAAAATCCCTTTCACATCCAGAGGGTGATAAGTGCTCTGTGCTCCCCGCCTGTGTGCCCCCTCACTCACCAACTTTAATGGGCTCTTATGGTAAATTAAGAGTCATTCACACTTTTGGTGGGGTATAAGAAGTAATGCTGGAGCTTGTAGTCCTCCTGGTTAATTAATTTCTTGTCATCCCCAGTGATTCAAATGTGGAGCTGATAGGTACATACATGTAAGGAATGGAGAGAGGCATCCAATATAGTGTAATTCCGTGTATTAATAAAAGCAGACACACTGGTATGGCACTGACATGTTTCCAGATACAATAGGCATGAATCTTCAAATGCACAATAGTAGGTCGCTATCAATCCACAGCGATATGGCATTGCGTTAGTTTAACTGACAATTGCGTGGTCATGCAACGCTGCACCCAAATGAAATTTATGTCCTTTTCTTCCCACAAATATAGCTTTCTTTTGGTGGTATTTGATCGCCTGTTTTTTTTGTTTTTTTTTGCACTATAAACAAAAAAAGATTGACAGTTTTGAGAAAAAAACAATATTTTTGACTTTTTGCTATTAAACATGTCCAGTAAAAAAAAATTTAAAATGTAATTTCGTCTTAAATTTCAGCCAAAATGTATTCTGCTCCATGTCTTTGCTTAAAAAAAAAAAAAAATCCCAATACGTGTAAACGAATTGATTTACGTGAAAGTTATACAAATGGCGGTATATATACGGGGATTTTTTTTTTCTTACTAGTAATGGCGGCTATCAGCGAATTATAGCCGGACTGCGGTGGGCATTCTGACACTGGGGATGTCAGTGACACCAATACAATGATCAATGCTTATAAATAGCACTGACACTGCACTAATGGCACTGGGCAGAAGCACAAAGCAGTGTACAGGAGATGACAGGGGAGAGATCTGTTCATAATACACAGGTCTCTCCCCCCCGTCAGAGATACTCGGTGATCACCGGGTGCCGGCAGGTACTCACCGGGTCCCGGCCGGAGTTACACCGGGAGACAGCGGAGCTGACAAGGGAGAGAGATCTATGTTGATATTACACAGGTATCTCCTCCGTCAGATACTCCCCCCCCCCGTCAGAGATACTCGGTGATCACAGGGTGCCAGCAAGTAATCACCGGGTCCCGGCCGGAGTGACACTGGGAGACGGGAGCTGACAGGGGAGAGATCTGTGTTTATTATACACAGGTATCTCCCCCGTCGGAGATACTCGGTGATCACCGGGTGCCAGCAAGTAATCACAGGGTTCCGGCCAGAGTGACACCGGGAGACAGGGGAGCTGACAAGGGAGAGATCTGTGTTGATAATACACAGGTCTCTCCCCCATTGGAGATACTTGGAGATCACCGGGTGCCGGCAAGTAATCACCGAGTGACAACAGAAGCCGTGAATGGTGCTGCAGGTAGGGTGCGTAAGCGCCCCCTACCAAGAAATGAAAAAAATCATGTGTATATATACGTGATTTTGCACACCCGTGCTGCCCTGTAGCAGTATTTCTGCTATAGGGCGGTGTGCAACCTGTTAACCCATGAAATAACCGTGTTTCCTGTCTGACTGTATTGATAATACACAGGTCTCTCCCCCCGTCGGAGATACTCAGTGATCACCGGGTGCCAGCAAGTAATCATTGGGTCCCAGCCAGAGTGACACTGGGAGATAGGGGAGTTGACAGGGGAGAGATCTGTGTTGAAAATACACAGGTCTCTCCCCCGTCAGAGATACTCGGTGATCACCGGGTGCCGGCAAGTAATCACCGAGTGACAACAGAAGCCGTGAATGGCGCTGCGGGTAGGGTGCGCAAGCGCCCCCTACCACGAAATGCAAAATCACGTATATATACGTGATTTTGCACACCCGTGCTGCCCTGTAGCAGTATGTCTGCTATAGGGCGGTGCGCAACCTGTTAAACCAGAAAATAAGTGTGTCCTGCCTGACTGTACTGATAATACACAGGTCTCTCCCCCGTCGGAGATACTCGGTGATCACCGGGTGCCAGCAAGTAATCATTGGGTCCCGGCCACAGTGACACTGGGAGATAGGGGAGCTGACAGGGGAGAGATCTGTGTTGATAATACACAGGTCTCTACCACCGTCGGAGATACTCGGTGATCACCGGGTGCCGGCAAGTAATCACTGAGTGACAACAGAAGCCGTGAATGGCGCTGCGGGTAGGGTGCGCAAGCGCCCCCTACCAAGAAATGCAAAATCACGTATATATACGTGATTTTGCACACCCGTGCTGCCCTGTAGCAGTATTTCTGCTATAGGGCGGTGCGCAACCTATTAACCCTTTGAGGACCAAGGGACGTATTTGTCCCATATTTTTAATTGCATGTTTCATCTGATTAAGAACTTAAAACTCTTTTTTTTTTTAGTTTGAGTCAAAATATTAATTCTTATCAACTAACAACAAATGGATCTAGCTTTTTGCCAATTTCATGAAATGGCTTAGTTACAGCAACTGAAGTGTACGAACTTTAAAAACGAAAAAATTGATTCTTTTGGCGTTCCAAAATCTTACGGTCCTCAAAGGGTTAAACCAGAAAATAACCTTGTGTCCTGCCTGACTGTACTGTATGGCATGGGTGTGTAAATCACAAGACAGGCTGGACAGAATTAAAAATCCATCAACTAAAACAATTTGCATATGTGTATGATAGCTGCGTATTTAACCATTTTCCTACAGTTCATTATTAACTGGTGCAATTCAGTGGCCACTTATTCCCCATTCTAACAAGGTTAATAAACTATATTAGGGTTAACATGCGCTCCCTGCTCAGTGCGTTCCTGTTGGTAATGAATATGTTATGGCAACCATTAGGTTTTGTAAACACGAAGCTGTTTCAGTTTTCAAGCCAACTGAGTGCTCCTTTGTTACTGTCCGTCAATTCTGGCCTAATAAATTCTCTAATTGCACTTAATAAATAATAGATGGAGGCTCGCTGAAGGGACCGTCTCAACAAGCCTTAATTATTTAGCTATTGTAAAATACTTTACTCCATATTATCATCTCACATGTTTCTGCTGCGACTCAGACAGGCACATTCATTTTATTTGGATAATGCGTCCACCACTTATTCGCTGTAAACAATTAATCTCTACTTCGCATATTCACTGCAAATGGACCGCCGTGTTTGCAGAGCATAAATACTTAGATTACATTTCTAAAATTGGAATTACACCGACTTGTCCAAAGTAATTAATTTTATCGGAGATAAACAGCTGGGTTTAATACCATAATGGTATGAGGAAGGCGAACATCACATTTCAGTTGTTCAGAAGCAAAAAAAAAATATATATATATATACAAATTAACTTTTTTTTAGGAAGCAATTTTGCACAAATTTTAATTTCCATTTTTCAGTGAGTAAATAAATTGCCTATTAGGAAAAATCAAATTATAATAGAAAATGAATGTCATATTTAAAGCCAAACTCTGGCTAAGCATTATATTGATAATATTTTGGGAATGTTTTATTAAAAGATTTGTAATTCTGTTTTGCTAGCCGAGTGACCCAGAAACCCCTGCTAAGACCACACAGCCAGGTCCTGGACCATTCCCCAATCTACATTTCACACAGGAGTGGACTGACCATTTGGAAACTCAGGCACTGGCCGAGGGCCCAGGGTCAGTAGGGGGCCCCATGAGATGCCCCTGGTACCTTTTTCATAGGCTTTTTTGAGTTTGGGCAAGGACTCAGGGGCCCCATGATCCCCTATTGCCCGGGGGCCCCATGAG